GCGTCTACACTGGCCTTACACGCATTTAACAATACTGAGTCACTACTTTCTAAACAGTAAGCTGGATTCAGGCAGCTTGGGAAATACCATGAAAATATGATGCTGTTTAAATGCTAATGCTGAGGCCTAGAAGTGATGGTAGCTGGCCAGGAGTCGTGTTTCCTCTGTTGGGCTGAGCGTATGATTTCGTTTCTCCTATTTGTTCAGTTGTAGTAAACATTTTTCATGGAGTTTTTACAGTGTTTGCAAAAATGCCTCCTAAGCAAAAATAGAAAAATACACTTTCTTCTTTGTACAGTTTTCAAAAATATACTCTTTTTGAATTGAAAAAGGCTTATGAAAGAATGATGAAGAAACCATATTTGATATTTACAAGTGTTATTTTCTGGTTATTAAATTCAGTTTGTAAGATGTATGTGTGTGTGTGCACGCACGTGTATGTGTGTGTGAATTCTGTTCATTCCTCTACTTATCCCCCTGAAAAATCTCATTTTCAAAATTTCATATTTTTTAAAAAGGAAAAAAGAATGACTTTCCTGTATCAGTAAATCAAAAGCTAAAATGCTGACTCATGCAGCAAAGTGGCCTGACTTGCAGAACTAATGCCCAAGTGCAGGCTCTCTCGCCCTCTGTGGCAGCCAGGGGCTCGCTGACTGCTCTCCCACCAGGGTGGCTTCAGGAGATGAGCCCTTCACTCATAGGGCATTTCTGGCTCTCAACATAGTGCCTGGCCCAGGGTAGATGCTGAACAATGGCCCATTAAAGTCCACTATGTTGTTGTTGCTGTTATGGAACCATTCCTACAAAGAATATCATAGAACCCCAGATAGAAAAAAACAGATAGATGTTTTTGGGTAGAGAACCACTTTCAAGTGAGATCCTTACTTTGTGATTCACGATTTTATGTGTCTTTCTTATTTCTTTCTTTTAATCTGAAGTGCATTCCCCTATCCTGCTTCACGGTCATGATTTCATTCAAATTTATTGAATTTCTACTTGCAATTCTATTAGATGACCAATGGCAGATAATTTTTAGACCTGATTTTTACATACTGCTTTGCAGTACTTTTATTTGCATAATCCAAAGCATTGATTGAACCCTGTGGAAGTGGAGACATAGATGGTTCTACTTTTATTTTATAAATGAGGAAACTGAGGCTCAGGGATGTAAAGTGATTTAACTGAAGTTACATGGTGAGTGAGTGAGTGATTTGAGCCTTAAACACATCTTTGGACTCTGTAGGGTTTTTCCCTTCACCTTCTGAAGGTTTGCTGAAAAATCAGTTCACAAAAGGCAGATTAATTGGAGAAAAGGCACACAAAACTTATTAATGTGTACATGGGAACCTTCAAAATAAAAAGTCAGACTGGGTGCAGTGGCTCACGCCTGTAATCCCAGCACTTTGAGAGGCCGAGGAGGGCGGATCCCCTGAGGTCAGGAGTTTGAGACCAGCCTGGCCAATATGGTGAAACCCTGTCTCTACTAAAAATGTAAAAATTAGCCAGGCATGGTGGTGCATGCCTGTAATCCCAGCTACATGGGAGGCTGAGGCAGGAGAATCACTTGAACCCAGGAGACAGAGGTTGCAGTGAGCTGAGATCCCACCATTGTACTCCAGCCTGGGTGACAATGTGAAACCCTATCTCAAAAAATAAATAAATAAATAAATAAATAAAAATTAATTATACAAGTAAAAATAAATCAATGATACAGGGAAAATTGTCTATTATCATGCTTAGGTTCAACAAATTATGCACAATCATGTAGAAATAGGATTGGGCGAAAAGGTTATGATCTAATGCTAACTGACTGAGTGGGGAGCCAAGCCAGTCCTGTCCAGATTCCTCCTGGCCTCTATGAGCAGTGTCCCTCCCTTCTGGGTGTGAGGGTCTTACGACCTTCAGTCAAACAAGGCAAACTGGATGATTTCTTTACGGCCAGTTTTAACCGAGAAAGGTGGAAGGAAAGTTAGTCATATTTTTAGGCTGGATGGCTGACTTAGGGGAAAAGGGGTTCTGACTTCAGTGACCTGCCTTGAGGAAGAGGGATTCTGGATTCTGTGGCCAGCCTCAGGGGAGGTTAAGACCCAGAGACACGAGGACTGGAGAAAGTCAGTGAGAAACTTTTGCTTCTTAGGCTGCTTCTGAGGCCTTCATTTGGGAGTATTGTTTGCTGAGACCCAGCAACTCAAAATCACTTCACCAAGAAAGAAGTCAAGATACCCATTGTGTCATATTCACACACATCCTCACTGCCTAGCTCTATTTTCAGCTGAATATGTTTGTTTGGTCATGTCCTCCTACGTCAAAAGCTCCTATGTATATTAATTCACGCAACTATACTTGTGGTCACTGCCAAAGGCCAGCCTGGATGCTAGAGTGAGCTTGTTGGGCTCAGGATTTTCTGCTGCAAACACATGCTAGGCCAGACCATGCCCCATGCAATGTAACTACATGCAGGAAGGGTCTGATACGTGGTGACTGCTCAGTGGGGCAGACATTGATACTGCCCACACCCAGTCTAACAATAGACAGGCGTACATTGTATGCAGAGAGTCATCTTAAAAGTGGTAAAAGGAGTCGTTTCCTTAAAAAAATATTTTCTTAACCTCAAAGAAATATCTCAGTGTAACCATGCCAGATAAGGTTTGCATAAAGGGTTAGCTTTTTGAGTTATAATCTTCTTTTATGAAAGAATAGCCTGGAAACTTTAGGTCTGACTTGTGTGTAAGGATTTGAAATATTTTAAGCCAAAGAGAAAAGCTTTAGAGAAGAGTTTAGCTGCCAGGGGCTTTTTTCTGTAACTCCCAGGGATGAGGCAAGGGAAGGCTAGCACAGACCAGGAGACAGGCCCCATTAAAATCTTATTAACATGCTTTGAAGTGACAGTAGTGCCTTGTCCGAAATATCTCTCCAGCCCACTGTCTTTCTTAGTCGTCTGTGTCCTAGCTAGGATGCTGGGCCACAAGCAATGGAAAGGACCCTGAGCTGGACCCTTGCTTCGTCCTGAATTTGTCCCAACTAGCAGTTTGACCTATGAGATGCCATGTGCATCTCTTGTACTCTCAGGGTTTTTTTTTTTTTTTTTTGTAAAGATGACAGGGTTAGATATGATAGTGTTTATGAACCTGTCCAGCTCCAACCTGTGTGAATCTTTAAGGATTGCTATACCACTTTCATTGGTAGGAAATCCCGGTACTACACACTGGAATATTTCAAAATCAAGTCAAACTGGAAACATGATCCACCTGGCCTACCCAAAACTTGGTTTCCATCTGCAGTGCAGACATAAACCAACAGCTAACATGGAGAAGTGATATAAATTGTTGGATTCTTGAAAAAATACTAATTATTAAAAGTAATAATTAATACATGGAAAAATATGTCTAAAATACGTGGTATTTCTTTTTCTTCTGAAATTACTATGTCCTCTTAAAAGCCATTTAAAAACTGCGTCATTCTAGCTTCCTTGCTACCATTGCTTTTGTTGTGCAGAACATCATTCTAAATTTAAAGGTCGGTAAACATGCAAATTGAAGATGTTTGCTAATTCATGTTAAGAGTATATTCAGATTAATACAATTTAACTTGAAGAAATGATTTAAAGGAAAACAAAAAGACTAAACAAGTGCCAGCATCCAGTAGGAGTAAACTTATTTTCATACTCAGTTAACTAGCTTAAGGAGAGGGTAAAATTTTAAAGAACTGTTTTTTTGTTTGTTTGTTTGTTTTTGTTTTTGAGACAGAGTCTCTGTCACCCAGGCTGGAGTGCAGTGGCGCCATCTCAGCTCACTGCAAGCTCCACCTCCTGGGTTCAAGCGATTTTCCTGCCTCAGCCTCTTGAGTAGCTGGGATTACAGGCGCCCGCCAACGCACCCAGCTAATTTTTTGTATTTTTTAAGAGACAGGGTTTCACTGTGTTAGCCAGGATGGTCTCAATCTCCTGACCTCGTGATCCACCTGCCTCGGCCTCCCAAAGGGCTGGGATTACAGGTGCGCACCACCTCGCCTGGCTAATTTTTGGTACTTTTTAGTAGAGACATGGTTTCACTGTGTTAGCCAGGATGGTCTCAATCTCCTGACCTCGTGATTCACCCACCTAGGCCTCCCAAAGTGCTGGGATTACAGGCATGAGCCACCACGCCCGGCCAGAAAAACAGTTTTAAATAGTGGTCTCATACTCTGTGCCACACACAGTGAGACACATACATGCAAACATGTATTTGGATGCATGTATATATGTATATTTGTATTTATAAGCCTATACATATATATACACATTTTTGAATACATAATTATTTTGAATAGTCAATATCTTAACACATAGGAGTTATTTTCCTGTTTTTCAGTTGAGGAAACTGAAATTCAGAAATAACAAACCTAGTGTCCCTTAGCTAATACATGAAGAAGCCCAGCTCTGAAAACAAGCGCCTAGGCCTTCTAAAGAAAGTTGTCTTTATATTATACCCCGTTTCCTCAAGTAAGGGCTTTGTTGTAAAACATCCTGAGAGCCTGGTGTTTAGAAACTGCTACATTTAACTTAAATAAAGAACACGAGTTATTTAACATTTTGAGTTTTGATTCCTTCATCTGTGAAAACGCAGATGAAAATATCTACTTTGGGAGACAGTTGGCAGGATTAAATGAGATACAGTGAATTAAAATATCTGCAAAAGTCCCTGGCAAATTGTGGCCTTGTACAATGTATTAGTTTGTATAGCATTTTAGCTGCAGTTTCTCCAAATCTTTTCACACTTAAATCTTTTTATGCGACGAAAAGAGAAAGAAAATTTTGCTTACTACCTCAAAGAAATAAGCAAGTATTTACTGAATGCCTTCTATTATGTCGTAACATTTTATGTGTCACATTTCAGAGATGATTGAGGTCATGATTATGGAATCTTTTATGTGGGGCGGTAATAGTTAAACAGTAAGTACAGTTATGTGAATCTAGCTTTTCAGGTGTCCCAAAGAGTTCAAACAGCTTTTTTGTTAAAATGAACCCTGGGAAACTAAAAGTACTCCTACCTTTTGCCTTTCCTGCTGCCTCAGTCCCTCCAGTTTGAGTTAATTTTCCTCTAGGGGCTTTAGAGGGAAAGTTTTCCTCTTGCCACACTCACCTTGAAGCAGGACGCAATGGATTACAGTGGCTTTCACCATGCATCTTGTCTCAATACAGACCTTCGGGGGACAGGCCTGCCACATTACCCAGTCTACAAGGGCAGGTAATTTAATAAGGTTATCATATTTTCCCTCTATATAATGACTTAACAACACCTTTTTTAAGAAGTCATGTCAAACGTTGTTCCATTTAAAAATCAGTTACTGAATAAGGCAAGCAGGATATGAATCCATGGGCACATAGTGTAACTCAAGTTTTGAGATGAAAACTGGCCCTCCAGGCCTTTGTTCTGCATCAGGCTCAGGAATGTGAGAAGTGTGTAGCCGTCTGCAAGTTATTAAGGTCCCTGCAATAGAAAGAAAGAAATCAACAGACAATTTCAGTAAAGCATCTTTGACTTCCATACATTCAGCTTTTTAGAAATATTTACTTACATAATTACACCTGACTCTCATAAGCTGCTTTGCATACACCAGATTCAGTCTTTCCTACCACAGTGGGTGTATTAACCTTTCCAGGGATCTTAGGAAGTGCTGCCTGTCCGCCAGTGGTCTAGTGTGTCAGCCTCGTGCAGATATTTCTGTGGTAATATTGTGCATACAATCATTTGAATGCTTTGTTGCATTTTCCCCTTTTTTAATGAATTGAAAGCAGAAAATGAAAAGGTTAATATTAGGGCTAGGAAGCTGAGGTCTCATATTTATATATAGCTGAGCCCATTGTACAATTGAGAAAATGATGGAAATAAATAGGTGTGTTTACAAAATTAAGACCATGTGAAATGCGGGAAGTGTTTTGTTGAAAACTGTCCCTGAAATGTAAAGTGTAATTAGGAAGATAATATTTTCATTGTGTACTCTTATTTGTCTCTTACCAAACACTAGCCTTTGCTAACCTTTAACATTAGAATTTCACGTACGTTTTCAAGAAAGCTCTGTCTGGCAAAGTAGGAAGCTGCCGTAATAACCAAACTCTAACTTGTACCAGCTCCAGTCTATCTCTTCTGCAGGACGCAGATGCTGCTCCTAAATCTTTCTTGGACAGAGAAGATTTTTCTCGTTTCTGAAGTCCACACAAGTTTCCTCATTACTGAAGAATGCATTTCACGATATAAAACCTAATCTATACAGCTGTATGTGGTTTGGGACTCAGTTAACTTAGAATTGATTCTCTTCCACTACACAGTCCAGGCAATTGAAATAAGTTAAATGTTTTTTTTCCAACATAGTCACCCACATTTAAGGCATGGTGACCTAAAGTCTTTCCTTGCGAACTCACACCTCTGAAAACCTGATACTTTGTAGGGACATAGGGCGAAACTCAGTGTAGCATACAAGGTATGCATGCTGCCTCATGGCTGCACCGTCCATTCCTTCCTCCAGTCTGCTGTTCCCCCAGAGTGATATGTGCTTTCATTTATCATCATCATCATTACGATTTTAAATCACAAAAATTCCAGCTGCTTTATTTCACGTTTTTAAAAACTGTGGTTCCAAGCAAATTCTGAAATGAAATGAAGAAAGCAAATATATTTCAGAGAGAAGTCCAACTGAGAGAAAACAAAAGGGCATATTTAATATTTAAACTAATCAATCAAGTACCCTTGGCTCAAAGAAATGAAGAGAATATAGAATACTCCTCTGATTTCCAAGTATATACATACACACACGTATAAACAATGCTACTTAGATCTTCTGCATTTCTCTGCTGTGTTACCTCATAGTTGGCTACCTTTATGTTAGTTTATGAAATAATAACAAGGACCCATTGAATTAAGTATGAGAATGTGCTTTTAGATTTATTCATAATAATGTGGCTTACATTGATAGAGTTTTGTATTTAAAAACACTTGCATATGTATTTCTTTGATTAATATGAGAAGAATTCATCACCTATGTTGTGGATGAGAAAATGACACTCAGAAAGACTAATGCTGCTACCAGAGTCAGGACTTGGATGGGATTTCTGATACCTGAGCCAAAGTTCTCCTCACTCCCAGGAAGAAAGGAGCCTCTGGGAAATCCTTCCGGGTTGGGTGAAAGGAGCCTCTGGGAAATCCTTCCGGGTTGAGTGGAACCTCCCAAGTCCTGGGTGGAGGCTCAGAACCTCTCCACATGGGTCACTCCCATTGCCCTTAGCTAGTTCCCAGCAGTGTTCAGCAATGCAAGTATCGTTTTCAAAGGCATCTGTGCTTCTTGCAGGCAGAGCAAGGGAGGGGGAAGCTGAGGAGGCTGCATGCCTCCTGCAGGCAGATGGGAGGAACTGTGGAGGCATTTCAGAGAGGAAGGAGGCACCCTGGCAGGCCCCGTCAAAGAGGAAGGAACCTGGGAGCATGAGTGAGTCGGGTGGAGCCATCAGAGGAAGCAGAACAGGGTGTCACTGTAGTGTTTTGGTGATGACCCCAGAGCCTGAGAGCTGTGCAGATAGGCTATGGATTTGAGTTTTCATGTGCACAGTACTACATTTATACACTGTTAGAAAATTAGGCTGTCAGATATTCTCTTCCTTCCTAGTTTTTCTCAGAGATTGGAGTTTACATGTGTGCATGTATGTGCCTGTGAGAAACCCCAACTTCTGTCCTCAGAGTCCTCCCCTCACTCTCTCTGTGTTCACGTAACCCACCGGCTTCCTAAGGAGGCCACACTGTCCTCATTGCCTCAGGGGTGCAGTGCTCACCCACACCTGTCTTCCTAGGGTAACACTTAGAGCAGCAATTCTCACACTCTTTGGTCTTAGGATCTTTCTACATGCTTGAAATTGTTAAGGATTCCAAAGAGCTTTTGTTCATGAGGGATATGTAGCAATACTTCCACATGGCAAACTAAAACTGACAAAAAATTCATGCTTTTTAATTCTTTGAAAAGTAGCAATACAAATTTCATTCCATGTTAACATAAGTAATTTTTATGAAAGATAGCTATATTGTTTTACAAAAACATTAATGAGAAGAATGACATTGCTTTATAGTTTTGCAAGTTTCTTAGAACGCAGCCACTGCCTTATATCTGGTTTTAAATTTAATTAGTTACTATATATATATATTTTAAGTATGTAAAGAATATCTGGCTTCACACAGACTGTAGTAAGAAAAGGGAGGATTTTCATAGATTTTATGATAGTTGTGGATATTCTTCTTTGATAGTATACCAAAACTCAACAAGTGATACTTTCTTAAAAAGTAGTTGCAATGTAAAATCAGAAACCATATCAATTAGATTTTCTTGATCTGTTACATTAAAATGTACTAGTTTTTTCTTTACTATCTTTGCAACTTACTGAGAATCTGTAAATACTTCAAAATAAAAAGTTTAAAAATTGTACAAAGAATTTCAACACACATTTCTTCATGGAAGATATAGAAATGGCCATTAATCACATGAAAAATATTCAACATCATTAGTCATTAGGAAAACTCAAATTAAACTCACTATGAAATTCTCCTTCACAACCATAGAATAGCTATAATACTTTGGACAATAACAAGATTTTAGGAGGATATGGGGAAATTGGAACCCTCATTCACTGCTGGTGTGAATGTAAACATGGTATGGTTGTTAGCATTGGCAAATCCATATGGGTCGGCAGCAATTCAATTCTTATCTCCTCAGAGAAAAGAACTCATCCGAGGGGCATAAGGCAGAGTGAGAGATTGAGGCAAGTTTTAGAGCAAGAGTGAAATTTTACTTAAAAAGCTTTAGAGCAGGGTCATAAGGAAGTAAAGTGCACTTCAAAGAGGGCCAAGTGCCTGATTTGTGAGATCCAGGTGTGCTGTGCGGCCTTGGATTTGGGTTTTTCTATGTTGGCACACTTCGGGATTTGTGTCTCTTCTCTCCTGGTCCTTCCCCTGCGGTGGGTGTCTCCGTGCATAGTGGCGCGCCAGCACTTCGGAGGGGTCGCGTGCACAGCGTGCTTGCTGGAGTTCTATGCATGCTGACTGGAGGTTTTTTCCCTTGCCAGTCGAGTATTCCTAGAGGAAGGTCATATACCAGTTAAACTCTGCCATTTTGCCTCATAGAGTGCATGCCTGAGTCTGCTTGCCCAGCTCCTGAGATCTTATCGGGAAGCTACCGATCACCAGCTTCAACTGTTTTCTATCTATTGGGAGACTGTCTTTCCCTGGTGCTGGCTGTGACCGATTCTTATTTTAGACAGAGAGTTTAACAACTGCATGACCATCACCTGATAGACACCTGACATTGCTGGAGGGGGGACCTCTCCTGTCCTCCTCATGCCTGCCTGACTACCTACTCTAACACAATCACTTTTGAAAACAGTGTGACTCTTTCTCAACTTTTTGTTTACATTTACATCATATCCTACCAAGGTATTATTTGATATCTATCATGCCACTTCCCCATGTTAAATCAGTTCCCATTGCTTCATATTATTGATTATGCTTCAGTCGATTTATTAATTTTTGTCACATTTGCTGAAACTGAGAACTAGTTTTCTTCTAAACAACTAACATAATAACATTATTTATAAAGCAAATTTTTATGCATAGGGCATGATTATTCATTCAAAGAGATTAACTGTTAGGTCTGTTGTGTTGGCATTCGAGTGTCTTATCATAGTCAAAGCACTCCTCCTTAGAGAAGCAAAGACCAATTTTGAAATGGAATCTACAGTGAAATTGTACATAGCTGAACTGTAACATTATCTTCCGTTGGACATCACACCAACCGGTCACCAAAGGGAGGAAAGTATGGCTTCTTAAAAATGCAATTAAGGGTCTTGAAGCCGATCTTGTCCGCAAAGGTGTCGAGGCTGAGGAGAAATCTGAGAAAACTGCATTGGTTATCTTTTGCTGTATAACACATTACCCTAAACACAACAGCATAAAGCAAATATTTATTTCACAATTTCTGAGGCTCAGGAATCCTGGATGGATTAGGTTGGTGGTTCTGCCTCAGGGACTCTGATGAGTCTGCAGACATCTGAAGGCTGCCTGACCAGGGCTGGAGGAATAGCTTCCACAGTAGCTCACTCACATGGCTAAAATGTTAAACATGGAGTTACCGTGTGGCCCAGCAATCCTGCTCCTATATATTCACCCAGGAGAAATGAAATCATATTGTAATCACCCAGCGATTCTTCCTGCCGTCTACTCAGGTAAACCCAATTCACTGAGACAACAATATTCCAGTAAATGAAGAGTTTAATTAATGCACGGCCAGCTAAGCAGAGCAGAGGAGTTTATTACTCAAATTAGCCTCTCCAAGAATGCAGAGACTAAGGCTTTTATGGATAATTTGGTGAGCAGGGGAGTAGGGAATGGATTTGCTGATTGGTTGGGGATGAAATCACAGGAGTATGGAAAATGGCCCTTGTACATTGAGTCCACCTCTGGGTCATGAGTGACAACACTGGGTGTCGTCAGTCGGTTACCAGAATGCAGTAATCTGAAAAACATCACAAGACCAATCTTAGGTTCTAGAATAGTGATGTTATCCATAGGAACAGATCTTTGACCACATGTCTCCTGTGCCGTAAGGGATCATACAAACTATGCCTCCATTTTAGCAGAATTCAGGCCCCTCCCATAATCCTAATCTCAGAGCCTTTTATTAGCTTTACAAAAGTGGCTTTGGTCCCTGGGCAAGGAGGGGAATAGTTTTAGGGAAGGATTAATTATTCCCTGCTTCAGTTAAACTATAAACTAAATCCCTTCTGTGCTTAGCTTGGCCTATGCCCAGGAATGAGTGAGAACAGAGAGCCTGTGAGGCTAGAAGAAAGATGGAGTCTGTTATGCTAGATTTCTCTCTGTCGTAATCTTTGCAAAGGCAGTTTCGACATGTCCCACAAAGACGCGTATGCAATTGTTCATAGTGGCATTACTCAGTCACTCGTGATAGCTCCCAAATGGAAGCAGCCCTGATGTCCATCAGCCAGTGAAAGCACAATCAATACGCGGCATATCCATATTATGGAATACTATTTGGCAATGTGAGATTGTGATTTATGAGAAATATATGTTTAGTCTTTATCCTTGTTTCCTCCCATACAACTCCTAAAACCCTTGGAACTTCTTCAGTGCTAAGTGTCTTTTTGCATGCTAATGAGATGACTGATGACTGGGGGCTCCTTGGTAGCCTCAGGATAGGGGCTGCTTGCCAAGGGGAACCCACTTTGTGATTAGAGCCTTGGAACTTTCACTCCCAATCTCCAACCTGGAGGGAGGGGAGAGTACCTAAACATTGATTTGATCACCAGTGATCAACGATTTAATCAATTATGCTAATGCAATGAAAGCTCCATAAAACACCAGAAGGACTGAGTTCTTCTAAGAGCTTCCAGATTGATGAACAAGAACACATCCAAATGCCAGGAGGATGGTGTACCCCAACTCCATGGGGCCAGAAGCTCCGGCACTTGGGATCCTCCTGAACCTCTCCCTGTGCATCTCTTCATCTGCCTATTTGTATCCTTTAAAAAATCCCTGTATTAAATCGGTAGTAGTAAGTAAAGTGTTTCCTTGAGTTCTGTAAACCGCCCTAGCAAATCTGCCCCACGGGATTGTGATAGTTCCCTATGTATAGTTGTTTGTCAGGCCAAACAGTCCGGGCTTCATATTGGCATCTGAGGTTAGGGCAGTCTTGTGGGATTAAGCCCTTACCCTGCGTGATCTGAGGCTAACTTCAAATATAATAGATAATGTCAGAATTGACTTAAATGGTAGGACACCATTGAACACAATTAACACAATTTAACTGTGTACTGGGGAATTGCTTGGTGAGTGGGGAAAACTCCCTGTACATTTTGGTGATGAAGTATTAAGTGTTGGATGTGAGAGAAGGAAAAACAGTTTTGTGTGTGTTTTTATATCTCATACAGGCAATACAAAGGAATGAATACTCGTACATGTTACAACATGGATGGACCTTGAAAATAAGTGAAAGAAACTAGTCATGAACATATACTTTACAATTCTATGTACAAGAAAAGTCAAGAAAAGGCAAATCTGTAAAAACAAAGTATACTAGAGGCTTAAGACTGGTTGTGAGATGGGGAATCATTATAAATGGCAAGAGGCTTTTTTGTGGGGTGATAGTATTCTTTGAAAATGAGATTGTTATAATAGTTCCACAACTCTATACTAACACACATTGAACTGTATCCCTAAAAAGAGTGAATTTTATGGTACGTCTGTTTTACCCCAATATCTATCTGCTGGTCTGTCTTGTATTTTGAATTGATATTTTTACCATGCTCAGTTTTGTAAAATCACACCCTAAAAATCACTTGGAAAATATTGATTTACAGAGTTATGCAGATCCTCCAAATATTGACACATTTCATCATATAATATAAAAATAAAACTTATTAATAACACCCCCAATCTCATCTGAAAAGTCTTTAAATATTGGAAAGCTGTCAAGTCATGGTGATGAATTCAAGTTTTCCAAAGCTCTTATTTTCTCCATGAAAGCTCAAATTTTATAACTGGCAATAAATACTATCAATTGTTTTCCTTGAAATGACACTTCTTGAGAAAATGTGTTCAAGATACCAATTCTGAATAAGTGTAATTTCATTCAAGATCATTCAAGGAAAAGCAGTGTTTCATGAAAAATGCAGATATTTCTGCTCACAATTCGAATGATGACACAATTGCTTTTTTCCTGCTGGCAAACTTTTTCTGTAAGGACCAGAAAGAAAGTATTTTAGGCTTTGTGGGCTACATAAGGTATCTGTCAAATATTCTTTTTTTTTTTTTAACAACCTTTAAATTTTTTTTTTTTTTTAAATTCTCAGTTCAAATTTTCCAAAGAAAAACACAGGTGGCAGGCCTTGTAGACAGCCACTATACTATGGTATGCATAAGTGCTGGATGTATGCTTTCTATTTTGGTTGTACGGAATATTTAAACATGTGTCCTCCGGAGTCAAGATATACTAAAATTACTCTTTCCTTCATTCAAGGACATTCTTAAGTGAAACAGGACAACAGGCATTGTCTTTTTCTTTCCTTTTCTTTTCTTCTCTCTTTTTTTTCCTCCTTTGTGCACAGGCATGGTGAGGAAGCACGCGGTGACAACCGATAGTTTGCTGCCACTGCTTTGATTCTTGCTCAGTTGCCAGAAGTTCCGCCCACTATTGTCTTGGCACTTCTGTTACTCTTATTAACACAATGAAAAAGGGAAATGATGTCTTAGGATTATTCTGAGGACAGTTACCTTCTGAAAAAGTCTCAGGGACCCCATAGGGTCCGCAGGTCACACTTTGAAAACTGCTGGTATAGGGGAGGTAAAATTCTTCCTCTGGCCTCTTAGGTTTTCCAGCTGGTACTGACATAAATGAGATGAAACGGAGAAAAGCATACACAATTTTTTTCAGTAATTTTTGCATATATATGAGAGCCCCCATTTAAAAAAATGTAGGCCCAGAACTGGCCAGGAGTAAGTGCTTATATACTGCGCTGAGCAAAGAGAGGCAACTGCGAAAAAGTAACTAAAATAAGGCAGATAGGAATTATTTTAACAAGGTCTGTTTGTACAGATTTCTCACCTCGACTGCCCGTCTCTGGTGATAAGAATGTTTATTTCCCCTGGTCTAGAGAGGGCACCTTTCACCTGGGAGTTACAGCTCCGGCTTCCAGGGAGAAAAGGGAAGGTCAGAATGCTTTTCTTGAGCCTGCTGTTTTTCAAGTGCTTTTAGCTTAAAATAATCAATGTGCCAAAGCGGTGGCATGTCCTGAACTCCTGCACGGGCCATGTAACTTTTTCCTGTTCTTCCCTCACATCACATTCTTTCATGTGAACGGGCATTACATAAAAATAACTCTCAGTGAGTCACTGACTTTAGTTCAGAAAAGATCTCGTTGGGTGTTACTGGGCAAGGCACTTAACCTTTCTGAATCTCGGTCTTCTCTTCTATCAATTGGGGAAAATAATAGTACCCACTTACAGATTTTTGAAGATTAAATGAGATTTTAAGTAAAGTGCTTAGCCGAGTGCTTGGCTTAGTAACTATTTTATTGCCAATTATATTCTTCTTCTCTTTTTAAGTTACAAATTAATTTCCTGTGTGCTGTTAATGATGTGCAGGGAAGAAATATTGTAGTAAAAGCGAACCCTTTTCTTGGTAGACTTTTAGGCGCTGTGAGGGGCGAGGCAGGGAAACCTGTTTGGGAGGAACCTAGCGGAAGCTGTTCGTCCACACTGCACCATCCAGCAGAGCCTCTTAGAATGGCAGCGCTTGCCTCTCTAGACCTGGGGTTCTTCAGATTTTTGAGCTCTAGATCCTTTTGACACGTAGATAGGATTACAAAGAAAATTAATTGTATTAAAATGCAGCTATCAAAATATTTAAAAAATTGTGGTATAGCATGTGCTTCATGATTAATGCATTAAATTCAAATCTAGCAGTGAGTCTAACAACTAACACAAATTGGAAGAAATGTTGAGTGAAAAGGATATTTCAAGATATTGGCACCGCGTATAATAGGATATAAAAATAGCTGTGATTTTTCTCACTGATAAAGTCCCAGGCACTTCTGACACTTCTGTGCTTGGTTCTCTATATTCATAAATAAAGGATATGCTACATTTCAATTAGAGGTGAGTGAGAATAAAGATGTAATTTTCCTCCCCATTGAAGTTGATAGACCTCCCTGAATTCTATTCACAGACCCCATGGGGGCCCATAGACCCCAAGTGAATAACCTCTATTCTATATTATCTTCCTTACCTATTTTTGGCCTTTATTTAGAAAGGATGGTAAAGGCAGAAAAAATGTTGGAAAACTGTCAATTGTTTGATGAATTTGGGAGAAGAGGCAACTAGCCAGGTTTGGTCTTTTTTATCTGGATTATGATTATCGTATGCATAGTGTATTTGCTGAATAATTGCTAGTTTCCTGTCTAAATTTAAGCTTAGTTGACTGAGGTTTAGGAGGTGGGAAAGCTACAATAAGCTTAATTACAAATTACAAAGTTGTAAATACAAGCCTTTTCTGACTCCTCAAAAAATAACCTCTCACTTTGTGGGTAGTTTCTGCTCCAATCACAAATTGAATTACACAAACTATACACATGAGTGATTTTAAATCTGAACTAAAGTGTAAACACACACACACACACACACACACCCCCTTTCCACAGTGTAGAATCATAAAATAGACAAATTGTTTAACTTCCAACACCCTGTCTGGCCCTAATTGATTCTTCTTACCCAACTGTGCATTTTAACGTGTTCCAAGTTTGGGAAATCTACCAGCACTAATTTGATGCTACAAATGTTTATGAGCCTTTTAATGGGCAAAGGGGGATTGATCTAATTTCTCAAGATGGCTAGGGACCGTGTTACATGGCACCTGATAGGTGCACTGGAAGGAGGTAAGAACAGTCACCCGTAACCACTGAGGGTAAGTAGGACTCGCTTCCCTTCCATGAGATGCACATCCTGATGGATACAGGAGGTTTCCCAGAGGGACTTTGTTTAGAAATGAGGATGCCTCTTTGAAGAATTACTTTACTTACACGGAGGGCTAAACACAGGACTTGAAATAAAATGCACACACTTCACTGTAAACTTTCTAGCTGAGACAGGAAAGTTTGTCTTTCCCATCCTTAGTCTCAGGTTGAAGACGACAGTATTTAGGGACATTTCTAACATATGCAGGTTTAAATGGTTAGGATGGAAGGAGCTGGTGTGCATCATCTGCTCAAGTGGACACAGCAAAGAACTTTAGAGATCCATGACACAGTTTCACAGTCGTTCAGAAGAAAATCTGTCTGCACTTGGCCCATGAGGACTGGCACAATGCCCGGCCAGTGTGTGGCCTCATTTGCCCCTATTTACACGTGGCGTACTCAGCCGGCTGACCCCATGCCCACTCTGCCTTCCTTGCCGGTCATGGACCATGTCCCCTGGGTCCCTTTCAAGGGCTATGTATCTGCTTTCTACTTACTGGTCCCTCTGCTGAGAGCACTGTTCGTCAAGTTAGTTGCATGACTTAAACCTGATTTTAGCCAGGTCTCTGCTTTCAGGTGATCTTCTCACATGGGAATGTCCTCAGTATAAAATAACAGCATCTTCACTCATCCTGGCCCTCCATATACCCCACTTGATTTGTCTCTGTAGCACTTAGCCGTATTTGACATCTCCCATAATTTTATCTTTGCTTCTTTATGGTCAGCTCCTTTCCAGAAGATGCTGCCACTTCACGAAGGTAGAAACTTTGCTTGTTTTAGTCACTGGTGTCTCCTCAGTGCCTGCAAAAATGCCTGGGCCTACAGTTAGTCCTCAATAACATGTGTTGTCTAAGTGAAGGGACCGAATAGACAGTTGCTGTCTTTATATAATAGGGCTAGATCACATGAAATCTTACCCTCGAATTCCTAAGTTCTTCTAATAGACAATAATGTGATTGTGCAAGTTATTCACCCTCTTTTCACATCAGTTTCCTTGTCCATAAAATGGAGAAAGTCATATTTATGCTTGGGAATGGATAGAGCAAGACAGTGCAAGGAAACGAGCATTGTGAACTATTTAACATGATGTGAACCACATTTTAGTGGTATGGCACCAAAGCCTAAGAAGTTCTCATCCTGTTTCCTTTCGTCATCATCATGCTGTGGTTCCACTAAGCAGTATCAGTTGCCCAACACTGGGATTGTGTGAGGCCAAGGCCAAGACAGAAAAAGTGGAGCTCATGATTTACCTTTACCCACTTCGCCCAGCAACATGCCTTTCAGAGAGGACTTCATAAAGCTTTTTCATTGGCATGATCTAATATGATTTTCACAATTACTCTGTGAAAAAGGAAAAATCGTCATTGTTACCATTCAATAGGAAATGAAAGGCAGAGAAGTAAAATGATTTGCTCAGATCAATAGCTGATGAGAGGCAGTGTAAGGACAAGAATTTGGATATTCTAGGTCTCTCCTAATATTTTATGGACTATCTTATTACTTCGAATCAGGAAAGGTGTAATGTCAGGCTGACTAGTATGTCATACTCACAAAATGCAAAACTGCATACAAATTTGTTCCATGATTTCTTCCTTTCTGGCTTTAACAGAAATTATGGGTAAGTAGGAGGAATGCTTTCAGCATGTCTCCTTGGAGATGTTGTGGTCAGGGCCCAAGCACACACAGGCATCTCGAGACTTGAGAGAAATGCCAAATATTCTGCATGCATCCACAAGGCAGAGAATCTTAGACAATGAGCTCACCTGGAATGTCTTCAGGATGACTTGACTATTTTCCAAGGTCAGTGGAAAGGCAGGTATGTGTGAATATATAATATGCCACAGTGAAAACCATCATCTATCACCTTTCTAGGATTGTAGAAATCGTGTTCACAACAGGGAGCATATTCTTTAAAGGTAACATCATACCTGTAGAGTAGCAGTATATTTTTTTACAGGCATGAGTACAAGCTCTCATGGGACACCTGGAATCAGTGCTTTCTTTTGAGAGACATGATCTCACTTGTGAATGTTTACAAACTTTCTTTCCATTTCTACTGCCATCTTAAAAAATTTAGTTAATCCTCCTGATTCCTGATTAGGGATATATGCTTATAATATTTTTCTTCTCAACACGATAGGCACTTAGTCAATTCCACTGCCAATGTCCACAGGGCAGTCTTGCCTGTGTCTCTGATGAACCTGCCTTGGGATCAGGAGAAGTGGGTGGGTTCCTCATTCTTCTGAGTGACAGCCCTGACTTCTGTAGAACTCTCTTGACTGATTGGGAAGCTGGAACTTGAAGCATCTGGTGCTTATGTACAAAACAAACATAAATAAGAAATCATGTACAAATGTGGCTCTAACAAATCTCCAGCAACAAGAAAAGAAGTAGCACCAACAAGTGAAAGGAGAAAAATCAATACTAAAAGGAGAGAGAAAAGAGAAACAGAATCCTCCAAAGACTATACTTCAAAAGTTTAATTTCAGGCTCAGCTACCTGATGAAAAGACAGCATTTTTAGTGGTATCTAAGATTCCTGAAAGAGAGTGAGAAGCTCATTGTGAAGATCCAATTATGACTTCTTGCCTTTACTCTCCCTTCCTTCTCTAGGAGTCATGAGAATACTTACCCAGAACAATCGATGCATAGAGAAGAAAAAAATGAGTATTAAAAATCACTATCGCTAACTTTTATTATAGTCTAAAGAAGATAGGGTTCTTGTCTTCTATCAGACCCAGGTTCAGAAATGTGGTCTTTCTTGCTGTTTTTAATTTGAATAACTATGTACAAATTAGTATAACTCTGGAGTCTTACTCCACGGACGTTTTGGCAGGAAGGTATACCTCTTACTCTAATGCAATGGATGTACATCTGTCTAGAAAAATAAGCATGTCAACAAAAAAGAAAGAAAATATTTAACAAAACAATATGAAGTTAGAGATTTATGGCTTTGAAGGTGTCTTCCTACTGTTTTTCATTCTTTTTATCCTGTGTTTGAGGATGAGAATGCAGTAAAATACCTTCAGTTGTCACAGGTCAGCGACCTTACCCTCTGTGCTTACCCTCAGATTCTGAGAGATGCTTTAGGCTGCCAAATAAGGAAACTCTCCAAGATGTATCGTATTATCTATTGCCCATTAGAAAACAGACAGCCTCCTGCCTTTCCTGGCATTGGGGGAACACCTTTATGTAGTCTACCTTTTCTATGCATTAATCTGTCAAGAAGGAGAATTAGACTCCATTGGGGGGAACTTATATTACAATTTAAAAAGTTTATCATGTGTATCTCAAGGAATAGAATTAGGATCAACAATTAGAAGCTAAGTGAGTAATTAAATGATAATTTCAGACATACAGAGCTCTCCCAAGTAGGAAGGTAGATGTAAGGAGTTCCCTGTCACTAGAAGTTTACAAAATTGAGTAGATCGTGTTGGGAGTCTTATCCTTCTCACTCTAATATTTCACACAGTGCCTGTCACATAGCAAATTCTCAACAATCATTTGTTGTCCAATGACCAGACAAGCGTTTATCGGGGCAGGAGAAGATGCTGGGTTATGGACTAGATCACTGTTAAAGCTACTTCAATACTAAGACTCTATGTGTATTTTTTCAGTGTGAATGGTACCATGGTGGAGTTAAAAGTTACTTCCTAGACTTCCTCTGATTCTTAACTATTTGAGGGATTTTGAAAACCTTTCTTCTCATGTCCATTAGGAAGCAGATATTTATGAGGGAGGAGTAAAAAGAGCTTCATGGTAGCAAGCTAAAATAGATTATTTCCCAACCACTCTGACATTGTCTGCCAACTACTGACTCCTAGACCTTGGAAGCCACGTTTATACCAGTGTTTTCAGGCTGCTGTGAGAAGCACTTGGAAGGGCAATCCCGAGAGGGGGCCCTCAGCCTTTGTTGCTGGTTAAGTTTTATGTGGCTGCATCTCAGTACATTGAAACAATGAGGCCCTCGGCTGTAAGACTTGTAATGCTAGACACTATTTCCAGGGAGTTCTCTGTAACCCTGGAAGGAAGAACCTGATCAACGGCAGCTATAAAGGAGACTATAAATGAATTTCCCCCCGAGTGTTTGATGCTTTACAGAAATGTGTCCTGCCCTTTTCTTTAATTAACTTTTAATTTCTATGGCACTGTAAAGGAGTGATGGTGACTGGGGGATTGCTCTCAGCGTTCTGAAGCATGGTGTGAGAGAGGTCGAAGTTAAATGTCCACACTGGGCACAGGTGGCTCTGCTGCATCCAGCCAACCCTCTTTGTATCCCAGCCAGACATCAGGATGGGCTTTTCACCACATGGAAGACTGAGCAGGGAATGGGGCAAATAAACCTCAAATCATTGCTAGACTAGAAAAAATAATAATAATGTAGGAGGGGAGGTAGAGAGAAAGAGAGAGAGTGAAAGAGAGAGAGAGTAAGCTTTCAATGTCTCTAACAGTGACAGAGTGACAGGGGAATCTCTATGGAAGAGCATTTAAGAGGAAGCTTCAGGAAAGATGTTGAATGCGAATAGACAGAAACCTGGGAGACAGGACAGAGCGAGAGAATTCAGGGCCCCTTTTGGGAACTCAAATATTATCCCCCCGAAGGGTCCCCCACCCTGGGAGCCCAGAGAGCACCTGAGGATCCTGCCAGCTAATCCTCACCCATAGCTACGGGGAGGAAAACTGTCAGTGCAGTGACACTATCAGAGAGAGCATTCCACAGATTTTTAAGAGTATTTGAGTTAGAAATGTGGTGCTTTGTTCCATATTTTCTTTCCCTAAAGACACTTCCCTTAAGCTGTTGTTCAAAGGCGTTTGCTGTCATCATTTGTAGATAACCGAGTGGCCTAAGCACGTGGTAAATGGCAATGCAAGGCTGTTCTACTTGCAGAAATTCAAGTGCTGACTTTATTAGGAGAGAAAAAAAATCACAACTAAATTTACCCTGGGTGTGAGGCACTGATGACTAAAGAAAGGCACCAGGAATCACGCCAAGTGATGAGCTAGAGTCAAGTTACAGTGACCTGCTTGTGGCTTCTCAGCCATGAGCTTCCCCACATACCTTGGTCCCATCCCACCAAAGGAAGGAATTAAAGAGGTGTGTATTTGTGGCTGTGAAAACGTGTTTGTTATCCATACAGGTATGTCTTTGATTTCTAAAAAAAACCAAAACAAACAAACAAAAACGGTAGTGATTTTTTTTTTTTTACCTTTCCTTTTTTTTCTATACGTTCCTTCAATCTCTTGATGTGGGTAGCAATTAAGCAGCTATATAGGTTCGCTTGTGAGTGGTGCAGTGCGCAGTGACCCAGAAGAGACACAAACTACACACCAACTCTCACTTGCCATATGTTTCCGCAGATAGTTTCATAGAGACACAGATTTGCTCAATGTTTTGCATATTTTCTATAGTTTTTTTCATGCTACAATGGCAGGTTCAGTAGTGATGACAGAGAATATAGAGCCCGCAAAGCCTAAAATATTTATTATCTGGTCCTTTACTGAAAATGTTTTTAGCCCTGGTCTATACTCTAAATCCTCATGTCTCATCTGAATTAATTATAAAGATTCCCAAACTGTTCTTGCCCTTTGTCATTCTGACCTACAATATGTTTTTGTAGGGATCTTCCTGAAAGTTCATTATGATCATGCCATTCTTCCTGTCATTCCTTACATAATACAAATCTACCTCCCCCGACATGCACCCAAAGCCAGCAAGGCCTCTGCAAGTTCATCTCTTATTGCTTCCTCTTGTTCACACTCTACTTCTTCCCAATGGACCATTCTCCCTTTTGCTGACTCCGTGTTTTCACAAATATGTGTTCATTTGTTTAGATATGATTCCTTCTCCCTTTTCTTGGATCACCGCTGTATTAGTCTGTTCTCACACTGCTGATAAAGACATGCTCAAGACTGGGCAGTTTACAAAATAAAAAGGTTTAATTGGATTTACAGTTCCACATGACTGGGGAAGCCTCACAATCATGGAAGAAGGCAAGGAGGAGCAAGTCACGTGAATGGCATGAATGGCAGCAGGCAAAAAGAGAGCATGTGCAGGAAAACTCCCCCTTATAAAACCATCAGATCTCCTGAGACTTACTCATTATCGTGAGAACAGTGCAAGAAAGACCTGCCCCCATGATTCAATTACTTCCCACCAAGTCCCTCCCACAACACGTGGGAATTCAAGATGAGATTTGGGTGGGGACACAGCCAAACCATATCAACCACTTATTTGAAACCCAGCGCAGGTACGACTTTACCAGGAAAATTTTCTGATCACCCCTTTCTTTCCCCTGGCTTTACTCCCATAGCACCTTGTGCATGTCTCCAGGATAGATGTTGTTGTTGATGTGCTGCTGTAATTTGTTGGCATACTTGGGTTTTCCAAGTAGATAATAAGCTCTTCAAGGCTTGACTTCTGATGTATTTGGCTACCAGACTTTCTGCTGTAAACTGACAACATATAGTGAATCAATGAATGGCTGCTCTTCCCAATATCCCAGGTATGTACTTGGGACACCTCTGTTAACCAGTTAAATCATACGTTTAGATTTCCATGCAATGGGCTCAGTCTTCAGATACCTTAACAACCCTTTGTTAATCTCTCCATGTATATATACATCTGAAACTATCCCACAAATTCAGCAGAGTCTATGTGGATGTGGTCAGATACAATCTATAGCATTCCTCTGTCCTTCACAGTGATGATAGATTTTTCTAACACATACAGACCTTCTGCCACAGTCTCAATAACAATGATGAACATTATAAAGACTGATGTACTTTTCTGAAGTTGTTATTCATTCTTCAACAGATATCAATTGATATTTTTCTGGTGCCAGGCTCTGTTTTAGATGCCAAGGATACAGGTATTGTACATGCATTCACATACACACATGCATCTAAAATAATACCTATGTTTTATTCACTATATTTAAACAGCGACTCTCTTTCTTGGGTATCTTTCAGCTTTTCCAAAGTACCCTTTTCTAGAACTGTTGCATCAGAATCTTGCTGGTAGAACTTATTTTGGAAAAAGATTTCCAGGTGACTAGATGCCCACCTTTAAGAACCACACTTTAAATCCCAGCACTTTGACAGGCCAAGGCGGGTGGATCACTTGAGGTCAGGAGTTCGAGACCAGCCTGATCAACATGGAAAAACCCTGTTTTTACTTAAAAAATACAAAAAAAATTAGCTGGGCATGGTGGCACATGCCCGTAATCCCAGCTACTCAGAAGGCTGAGGCAGGAGAATCGCTTGAACTCAGGAGGCAGAGGCAGGGGGGAGCCTAGATTGCACCATTGCACTCCAGCCTGGGTGGGTAACAAGACCAAAATTCCATCTCAAAAAAAAAAAAGAACCACTCTTTAAAACAGTAGAAGTGCCAAAGAATGAAACTAGTCTCTGGCAACTTATTTCTACAAAGGAATGTCATGTCTTAGTTTAATTGATTCACAAATTTCTAAAAGCTACCAAAGCATGAAGAGTTTGAAGTCTGTCTGTTTGGGAGCAAGCATCTTAGGCTGATGACTGTGTGTAAATCGCTCACCTTTTCTAACCTTCAGGGTCTTAGCATCACCTAATATTTTAGGGTGAATGTAAATCTCATGTGTCAAATGAGAGAGTGGAGAGGGGCATGTTCAAGATGGGGTTCAGCTTTAAGTATGTCCACTTTTGTACAGGCGGCTTTGGCAATGTATCTAAACAGAATCCTGGCCTGTGACCAGGGCTGGCATGAATCCTTGAATGGGTATGATGAGAGAAATCATTTCTATTTATATGGCTAAGATTTGAAAATAGTACCTAGAGGAGAAAAAGCTCTGACAAGCAAACATTAAATTGCTGAACTATCCAACACTCAGTTCCAAGTTTCTTAAATTCTGGTGTCAGCAGGGTTTTCCCTTAGGGCTGCAAGGGCTACTGTTTCCTAACCCTGGAGGTTAACAGCAGCACAGAGGCAAATGGCTGCAGTTCTTTGGTCCTCAAACCAAGTTTGTTTAGCCCTTAAGCTACTGCAAATATTGCTGGAAAGAGGGTAGGCTGTGGCCAGAGCTGCTGAGTAATGTGGTGACAGCTTCCCTGAGTTCTCGTTAATACAGATATCATTCCATCAGCGTGATCCTCAGCGACCTCTCACAAGGATTAATAATGAGGAATAATTCACTTGAGTGGAACATGCGGTGTGAGAGGAAGACTTGACAACGGACTCCTATGGGAGCTCTAGGTGGCTACACTGGTGTTGGGGAAGGAGGGGGAAAAGTAGTAAATGGGGTTACAGAAACACACGTTTATATCTAAAGGACCTTGACTGAAGGAATAAAGCCAATTTCATGAATAGGAAAGTGGTTCTTGTTTTAATCCCTGTTGTTTCCACTCCATTTCCATGGCTCCTGAACTTTCCCCTGTGTTAGTGAGAGCCTGTCACCTCAAACATTTAAGATATAATTTTAAGTGTTCTCTTTTCAATAGCATGCAGATAGATTGACCTGGGTCTAACTAAGACTATATCTTGTCCTTTGTTGAAATTATTATATCAAAAGGAGTTATTTTTTTATTTTTTTTGGAGATGGAGTGTCACTCTGTCACCCAGGCTGAAGTGCAGTGGTGCAATCTTGGCTCATTGCAACCTCTGCCTCCCAGGTTCAAGCGATTCTCCTACTGCAGCCTCCCGAATAGCTGGCATTACAGGCTCTCGCCACCACACCTGCCTCATTTTTGTATTTTTAGTAGAGATGGGGTTTCACCATGCTGGCCAGGCTGGTCTCAAACTCCTTGGCCTCCCAACATTCTGAGATTACAGGTGTGAGCCACAAGGCCTGGCCTCAAAAGGAGTTATTCTAAATGGTTAACATGGGTGTTGCATATCCTCAACTGAAGGTAGATTATATTTTTGAGGGACACACTTTTCCTCCTCCCCTTGCCTGGGGGAATCTTTGAATGTTTTGATTGACAGTTACAAAGAATCTCATTTTAACCCCCCTGGGCCTTGGCGGGTCTCGTCCTCTGCAGTGGGCTAGAGATCATCTAGGCCCTGAAAGTTCACAACTGCTGTTTACGCTCCTTCTCCTCAATGGGACTTTGTCTTTCCATTCTCATCTTTAGTGAAAGGAATAATTAGTGGTGTCATTTGGGGAGGGCCGGGGGTCAGTAAGTGCTAGGTAAGAAAGTATAAACTTGCATTATATTTTCAAAAAGGACAGGAAGGCAGCATTTTGGGTTGTGGGGAGTCCTCTCACCCTCACATAGTGTGAAGTCTTGGATAATTGCTTGCAGCATTTGTTAATGGCTGCTTTAATGGCTAATGCTTATAGAACCCTTACTTGTGCCAGGCACTTTATAGGCATGTTTCTCCCTCCATTTGCAAACCTCCTTATGGCATAAGTATTCTTTTTCCCTCTTGAACAATGAAGACTCTGAGGTTAGAGAAGTTACAGAACATCCCTAAAGCTCACACAGCCCCTGAGAGGCACTGCCCCGTGTGAGCTCACTCTGGAGGTCCACCTGGGCCCTGGGCTCTTCTTTTTGCTGCATCTTCTTCCCTCTCACTACCTTCTTCCCTTCCTAGCCCGGTGCTGTGGTGTGGGGTTTTTTTCAGCCACCTCATCAACATTTTTCTAACCAGTATTCTCCAGCCCCTCCAATGGTTCTATTTCCTACTGTCCTCCTTAAAAAAAATTCCCATCCTTCAGAAGGAAAAAAGGATAAAATTATAAAAGCAAATGTGAATAACATTGTGTAATTTCCTAAGCATTTAAAGACAGATTAAGACTTCGGATTGAGCAACCTTGTGATAATAATTTCATGACACCCTTCCTGTGGATTAGAGAAATGAGGTTTAGGGATGTTAAAATACTTGCCCCATGTGCCCCCATTATCAGTAGCAGAAGACTGATTCAAACCTGTATCTTTTGACTCTAAAGGGCTTTCCACCCACTAGCAGAATTTCAAACTCAGATTCCTGCAGGGCCAACATGAATGAGAATGAGCAACACAGGCCCAGTGGGGACTGGCAAGCCTGGGCCCGGCGCCTTCCACCTCAGCAAGGGGGCAGCTGCTTCGGGGCCCCGTCAGCTGCTGCCCAGGGAATGCGGACACAGGGCTGCTGCATTTTTCTGATATTTCAAAGGCAGCCAGAAATCTGAATATTTAAATAAAATGTCCTGATCTTTAAATGTCGGTGACTACTTGACATATCTGAAAAACACCTGGGGGAGACCAGCCCTACACATGCAAGCTAAATGCTGTCAGAAGTTGCGTGTCAGCCCCTGTGGCTTCCCTGCCTCCCTGTCCCTTCTTATCCGAAATTGTCTGATTGCCGCTGTGGCCCCTATTCTCATGTATTTTTCCTCCACTGTCCTCATTTCTTTATTTTTGCCTCCCATTTTCACTGTAAATATCCTTCCTGTGATTTTCCCAGGGGCTTTCTCCTCCCTGCCTGGGCCTCCTCCCAGCAAACCAAGACACTTTATGATATAATCACAAATGGCTATTTACAAAGCCGAAGGAAGTCTTAATGGGACGGAAGACACTCTGTCCACAAAGCAAGAAACCCTCCACTCAGGCAGTCGACGAAGGGAGAGACAGAATTGGAAATGATTTTATTTCAATTAGATTTTAATTAGCTTCTGTCTTGGAACCATCAGATCGGTTGCCGAATAATTGAAAAAGCAACCATATTTGCATCTGTTGCTCCTAAGAATAGCAGTGTTGCAGCATCTGATCCGTTTTTTATTCAGAGGGTGAGAGGGAGGAGGGAAGCTCAGTGGAGGAAGGATTTCAGATTAAATAATCAGTGTCAACAACAGCAGTGTGGTGGGTCAGCCCTGGAGACTGCAGGAGCGGTCCTCTGTAGCCTTGTCCTAATTTCACATGGAATTGATATGGAATGGGTGGCAAGAAGCATTTAATTAGCCTCCTGCA